GAACTGTTGGCAATTGTCTATTTCATCCAACAGTATCGCCCATATCTGTACGGTCGGCATTTCACCGTCCGCACAGATCATGCGGCACTACAGTATGCCCTGCGAGTTCAACAACCATCGGGACAGTTGTCTCGATGGTTGGAGGTTCTCCAGGACTTTGATTTTGAAACCATCTACCGTAAGGTCGTTCGCCATACGAATGCGGACGCTCTGTCGCGCATGCCAACCACCTCCGAATGTGCATGCCTCCTGGGGTCGGGACGTTGCAGGCCTTCAGGGGACGCATCGGTTCCGATCTTGGCAGCCACCGATGACGACGAACCATTGGTTACTAATTCGATCGAACAACAGGGAAGAGATTCCCTGTTGGGGTTGCCCGTCACTGAATGGGGGCGCCTCCAAATGGAGGATACCTCCCTCCTCGGGTGGCGTCGTCGCGTCGGGGGTGCTGGGCGTGTGAAGGGTGATTCGGATGCATGGGAAATGGTGCAAGGTCTGCTGATGCATTGGGACGGCAAATCCCAGCGACATCGGCTGGTGGTCCCTTCTGGGTTGCGAGGCAAGGTGGTGTGGGCCGCGCATGAGCGCCTATTACACCTGGGGACCCAAAAGACTCTTGCACTGCTACAACTTGATTTTTTTTGGCCTGGCATGACGAGGGATGTTGGGGATCTATTGGGATCATGCCCTCGGTGTGCGCAACGGAAACCGCCGGCGCGGGAGTCTAACCCGCCCTTGCAATCGATCAAAGTGTCCAGAATAAATGAGCTTGTCGCGCTGGACATTTTGGGCCCATTTCCCGCCACCCCCAGGGGCAATAGGTATTTGTTGACTGGTGTCGAGTATTTTACACGCTGGCCTATGGCCTGGCCCCTGGCCAACCAGTCGGCAGCAGCCATCGTGGAGGCCTTTGTTCAGGGATACGTCCTGGACAAAGGTGCTCCGGAGCGGCTGCTGACCGACCAGGGCAGAAATTTTTCCGGTAAATTACTCAAACAAGTCTGTGACCTCCTAGGCACGAAGAAAATTCGTACCTCCCCGTATCACCCGCAAACTGACGGGATGGTCGAGCGCCTGCATCGCACCATTACGTCAATGATGTCACAGCAGGTCTCGGACTCACAGACTGACTGGGACCTGCATATTCAAGGGGTCTTGGCGGCATACCGGATGGCACCCCATGCAGCTACGGGATTTTCCCCCTTTTACCTCATGTACGGTCGCGAACCCGACCCGCCTGTTCGCGCCCAGCTGCAGATCCCCGAGCCGCAAGGGAAAACTAAATTGGCTGACCACGTCAAATTTAATCTGGCCAAATTAACAGAGGCGCGGGATGCTGCAATGCTAAACTCGGACCTCCGTCAAAAGGCGAATGAGCGCCTCAGGCTGGGTCGGGCGCACATGATACAGTGGAAGCCGGGGGACAAGGCATGGCTGCACTGTCCCCAAGTGCCACTGGCTACCTCCTCTAAGCTGGTGCGGCCGTGGCGGGGCCCTGTGGAGGTGGTCGAAGTTTTGCGACCACAGTGCGTGCGCATTAAATGGGGGAAGCGGCGATGGTTCGTGCACCCCTCTAGGTTAAAACCCTTCGTTGCGGTACACAAACCCACTTCACACATGCGTGGCCAAACGTGTGGGGGGTCGACCGACTCATTGGGTCCGTCTCCGTCGTTCTCACCTAATGCCTTGCCGGCCGTGCCACCTCCAGGTGCATCAGGACTGACGGGCTCACGCCCGACCACCCCTCCTGGGGATACCGACGGTCGCGCGGCATCGGATGAGGACTCACTCCGGGATGGACAATTGCCACCTGACGGTCCGCCACCCGGGGTTACCCCGTGTGAGGGGCCCGCTGCAAGGACGCGCGCAAAAATGCGCAGACTGTTATGAGGCCGGAAGATGTGTACATAGGTTGTGTTCATCGTGTGTTGTGTGGGTGGTGTGTTCCCTGCCCATTGAATGTACATATGTTGGGTTCATTGTGTGTTGTGTGGGTGGTGTGTTCCCTGCCCATTGAAATGTACATACGTTGGGTTCACCTGGTGTTGTGTGTATGGTGGGTTCCCTGCAAATTGTATATAGGTTGTTTTTTTTTACGGAATTCGTATTTATTCAAGGGGGGGTGCGTCGGGTTGTTTTCTCTTCTTGCTGTTGCATTTTGTTGTGTTCTTGTTGCTGTTCTTGTTATTGTTGAAAAATAGTGAGGCACACGCGCGGTCAAGGTGTAAATGCACTTTTATTGTCATTTTTGTATGTTGGCAGCCGGGACGGCTGCAAGCTATGCGGGGGGGGGGTGATGTAGGGGTGTTAAAGAGAGGGCCCGTTATGCATGGCAGCCTATGGAAAACAAACACAGTGGGCGGGGCTACGTAAGTGCACGAGGAGGTGCCCTCTACGACATCCGAGCCAGACACCCTGGGGGGGGCTGGTTCGAACGTTATGATCCCCCGGGGCCCCACCCCTCAGGGAGGGGTTGGGTATAAAAGGGGATGTTCAAAGGGCTCGAGTCAGTTATGTTTAAGCTAAGGGAAGAAGACTGAAGACGTCTTAGATAGAGCCCTGGACTCCCCTAGTTCGATGTCCTTTTCAGGGCCGGACAGGACTGAGCCAGCGGCGTGGTCCCGAAAGCCAGAGCCGGTGCTCTTGTAAGAGCTGGTCTGGAACTCCGGGTACCAGGCCCGACTTACCAGTGTCGGGCCAGTTAGCCTCCCCTAGCCCATTAGTGGAGGATTCGGGGCTAGGACAGAGTTAGCTAGGGGTGTATCCCGAGTTATACGGGTGAGGGGGCCGATACCCCCTCGAGTGTGTATATGCCCACTGTCGTATTGTGAAATAAATATACGTGTGCCTCAACCTCGGCGTCAAGCGTCTTCACCGGTACTTCACTTATATCCAAGCTTCGAACTTTTACCGTTGTATTAAAATAAACAAAATAAACAGTTGTCTGTTCAATCCCTTTTCTGTTCTCGCCACCCAGGAAGAATCGCGGCGCCTGTTGCTTGTACGTGTTTTGTGGCGGCCTTTGAAGCCCGGTAGAGATTTCCCGAGAATCTCATTATCAACCACCCCTTCCCCTTTTGCACCAGGGTTTTTTAAATTACCTTCTATTGCTACTTCCATGCCTGGTGTGGCTTGTGAGAGGCAGCTGCTGTTTGAGGGGTGGGGGTTCGTATCACCCCCTTTGTGCCCCAAGCTACACCCCGATTGATTATTACAACAACAAAAAATTGGCAGAATTTACCTTAATATACATTTTGGAAAAGGGGGCATATATATGTAGTGACAGAACGGTCACTACTGTGTTGGCCCGTACGAGGGCTGGGGGCCCCAAGGGGGTGCCTGGGGGGTCACGTGCTGGAGGGATCCGGACCTTCCCAGAGGTGGGGGAAGTGAGGCGTGGCCTGGGAAGTGAGGCGTGGCCTGGGGAGTGAGGCGTGGCCTGGGAAGGGAGGCGTGGCCTGGGAAGGGAGGCGTGGCCTGGGCGGAGCCGGCCACGCCAGAGAGACGAGATATAAGCGTGGTGTGAACGGAGAGCAGGGCTGTTCCTGAGAAGAATGAAGACACCTCGTGAAGATGCCAGAAGAGAAGACCTACAGTGAGCGGACTGCCAGCAGCCACCTGGCTGGGTCACGCTGGAGCGGCTAAAATACAATTGTGTGTTAGCTAGTGTAGGTCGGTGGTCACCACCCTATGTGTAGAGTAAGAGTAACTGTTGAGTAAACGTTGTGTTAATTAATAAATGAGTGTTGCCTCCCAAGAAGTGTGTGCGCCTAAATTGAACCCATTACATATACAACACGTTCCCGATGGAGTGTGTGAGAGAGAGAGAGATCTTGACTTAAAGCTTTCGTAACTGCAGGATTTCATATTCTTTGGGTCCTTCGGTAAAGTCACGAAGATAAGTTCAAAGAAAATAACTATAACTAACGAAAAAAACTACGACGTTTCGATTGCAACACAAGCGGTCGTCATCTGACGTCATCTGATGACGACCGCTTGTGTTGCGATCGAAACGTCGTAGTTTTTTTTGTTATTTTCTTTGAACTTAGCTATGTGACTTTACCGAAAGACCCAAAGAATATAAAGAAAGAGATGGCGAGTGAAAAAGACAATGGAGTGAGATGATGCTTCGCACTCAAATGATGCCAAGACAAAGACGGAGGAGAAAGAGGAAGGCACGACGTGTTCATATATAAGTAAACATTTATGTTTATATATATTTGGACGTATTGACGGTACACCAGTTGCAGCATAATGCACCGGTCCTCATAAAACAGTCCTGACGTTGGCATTATTGTCAGAGCGTGTTTGTTTGCATGTCCGCCAGAAGTACTGGTGCATAATGCAGACTTGATTCCTTGCAAAAGGTATAATCAATCTGGTGTTTCAACAGATTAACATCTCCTGTTTTATTGCCATGAAGGATAAAACCTATTCTGATTTGTCATAGTCCTGACGACGTCGTTGCTGCCCCTTGAGTGAGATGCAGGACTCTCCATCAGAAGTTGCACTCAGATTCAGCAGCCGCGTCCCCCATTCGAACGTGCGGTGGTGACACCACGAGTCGTAATATTTTAATGCCACCGTCCGCCAAATAAATTATTCCGAAAATTAATCGAGGAACCGGCTGACCAAGTCTCTAAGGGCACAAGGAATCCAGTCTTGCCTTTTTGGAGCACGGAGCAGGCGATTGTCATCAGGCTGGGCGCTGCTATATGGCAACAGACTGCGAAGCTTCGTGTTCAGCCCTGCTCACTTAACGTTCCGTCTTCCCACCGCTTTGGCATCGCGAAACTGATTTTGACACACCACCACGACCGGCGGTTTGCGAATCGCGGGAAAATAAATCATCATTGCGCAAAAACGTTAATTTGTTATATACCGTGCACCGCCAGTGTACAGCCAATACGTTCATGTAAACATAAATGATTGTTACACGTCCTCAAGCCCTTGCTCATGACATTGGAATGACATTGAATTTCAGATTTGAAAATACTTACAGGTTCTATCCATGACCACATCAGATCCTTGGGAGCAATAAAGATTTCTCGTCTCCACATATGCATAGTAGTTTGTGTCAGGAATCAGATTGGTGTATGTGATGCTACCCGTAGACAGCACATACGAGGACTGGTTTATGTTGTTATTGTCTTTCAAGCGAGCACTGTAGTACAAACTGGAGGAAGGAACCTCCCATGAGAAGCTCATGCTTGTCATTGTCTTGTCAGTAATGGTCACATTGACTTTGGGTGGCACTGAAAAACAGCATTAGAAAGTGGATTAGTAACATCAGCAACATGTTCACTGTTTTTCAACATATAGCATTATTCGGTACATTTCGATTTCGCAGTTTACATTTCGTTTCGCTTTTAAGTGCATTCATGTCTTTTTTTGTTTTCGTTAACACGTTCTTACAATCGATTTCGTAAAGATAATTTATTGGCCATGTATCGTGGCTCTGTATGTCACATTTCAGGGTGGTACTGCAAAACGACCAGTGGGGAATAACAAATGCATTTAGGGTGCAACAGAGTAAATCAAATCACTGAGAGTTCTCAACTTCGATTTGTCAACACTTCGAACAAAAACTAAAAAATCAGTGTTACATTGCCCTTTGCTTTATCTATCACGTGAATGTTTCTGGAACATTGCTAGCCTGCATGATGTCATGTGTCAAGAGAATTGATGTCAGATTCATATGTTTGTGCATCCTTATTAATGCCAGTTTATCTTAAGTGACAAGGAAGTTCAATTAAATGTCTCTGCAGTTGTTACAGTCTGTGTTGTCCTCCCTATTAAAGTGGGGGGCCATCAGAACAGTCGTCCAATCCTGTTAAACCCGTCCAGATGTCCAGAGTGTTGTAATGATGTCATATAGGGCAGTCTGCACACAAACGCCACCCTCCCTCAGCAGTTAGCTTGGGAGATCATCTCTGCCCGGTGCATTTCCTGGTCTCAGACTCTGGATCGCCTTCTGTACGTCCTCAACAGATGGCACCTCAGCCAGCCGTTCACAGGTTGTGACTACTACTTCCAATATTTGAGGCACGGCAGTCCCAGTAGGGTCATCCCAACTTTTCCCGATTATGTTTTCTTGGCTGAGGGATTTCCTCTCCCCCAAGACCTCACACAATGGTCAGAAAACCTGCAAATATGTTCCTAGGGTCGGAGATGTCATCACCATTTCTTTCCCATATTGTAATCTTTTTTTATAGAAAACTAGCACCCCACGTGCCCCTTTTGGACATGACCCCTCCCTTTCCCCTTTCCTCCAGCCAGCCAGGCAGCTAGCCAACGAACCTTTAATAATATACCGTAGTATTATATGATAGTACGAATGATATGGTGATGCATATGTGCGTACACACTTGCACAGACAGCTGTGTATGCGTGTGTGGCGGTAGTGTAGCGGTTTGCACTATGAACCCGGCAACCCGAGTTTGATTCCCGCTCAGGGCCAACACCAATGCCAATTATCTAAACCTGTCATGAGCCTCCCCTAGGTCGGCTCAGCCTCAAATGAGTACCTGGTGCTGTGTGTTAACATCACCACTGCAGAGACAGGCGGTCGGGTGTGGTGTTGGTCATCCACCGCCTCGTGTTTCCTTGCCGATCTTCATAGGTGCCACTACTTGCTAACAGCACTATCCCCAATAATCTGTCCAGGCTTTGGGTTGGGGGTTTTTTTTGTCTTTGGTGAGGAATTAGTGGCATCCCAGTCTCGACCTCCATTCCTCACCGCATGGAACCCACAGCCCTCGAGGCGGTTTCTACCCACTTTCACCTGCCTGGTGGTGTTACTCGATGACGATGGGAGGACTTCAAAGGGCCACTCTATTACTAATTGCAATTGACGGGAAATGTTTTGTTTTCTTTATAAATAGCAACCATCTGTATGTACCCCCACCCCACCCTGCCAGCTAGCCAACCAGGAAGGAAGCTAGCCATCCAGGCAGAAAACTTTTTTTTTCACATTGTGATAAGGAAATTAAAACTCTCTATGGTGGTGCCATCTCGCAGCAGGTCACTCACATGTGCTGTCGTACACGGTGTAAGAGACGTGTCTTGTGCCAATGCAGTTGACAGTTATGGCAATGATGTAGTATCTGTTAGGCACCAGTCCCGTGAATGTGAAGTTGGAGGCGCTCCCATTGACAGTGAAGGACGAGAATGTGAGTGTGATTCGGTCGGTTAATTGTAAGACGTAGCTGGTGGCGTCCACACCGACCTCCGTCCACGTGACTGTGATCGTTGTTTCACTCCTGGCACTCACCTGCACTCCTTCAGTTATAATTAATGCACACGAATCTTAATAAGCAAAACAATAACAATGACAAATAACAGTCTTTTTTCAGTCCTCTGCTGCTTAAAGGCCACCACCCCTGTGTCACAGGAATCTGAAAAAGAAATTCATAGCTCGATGGATTCCTCCAGGATAAATAAATATTCTGATTATTCTGGATTGGTGAAAGGATCGGAGATAGAACTCGGAGGGTGAAGGTTTGGCAGAAATAGTTCAGCTATCACTGTCAAATGGATGATATTCATGGCCAGAAATATAATTCGGGTCACAGGGTTCATAGCGCAGTGCACTAACCACTGTGCCACCACTCCCCACCTCCGTGTCTAATCGATGTAATATGAAGAAAAAAAACGGCCCAAGACACGCTGGTGGGACTACGTCGATCTGCTGGCCTGGGAACGCCTGTGAATTCCCCAAGAAGAGCTAGAGTACGTGTATAGTAGTGTATAGTAGTGTATCGTATAGTAGTGTATCGTAATGCAGTGTATAGTAGTGCTGAAGTATGTCGCCAGGGAAAGGGAAGTCTGGGCCGCTACTACTCAAGACGCTACCGCCACGACCCTCACCACGACAAGCGGACTGAGAAACGAACGAACGAACTGTAACCAATTTTTAACAAGTTCTGGCCAGCTGTCCTCAGCCAGCAGTGGACGTCAGGGATCGTAATTGATTTATCGTCGCCTGAGTAACATGTTGTGTCCGTGAACCCTCCTCCAACCGACACGGCCAATTTAATTAAGTTGCCTCGTGATTACCGGTGCTTTGGAGAGCCAATGTCGCAATATTTCACTATTGGATATTGTTCGCTGATTCGCTGATAGTTACAACCACCATCATTAGGCCGTTTCCACAATTCCTGAAACCGGCAGATTTTTCTGGTTACATCAGCGAACCGGTAAAGAACCCACTCGTTAAAATGCTTATACAACATGCGACAAAAAATGTTTTAGTGGGCCGCGTTGGGTGATGGACGGCTTTTACGACACAAGTTTGGTCAGATAATTGCATGGCCCACACCAAAAATATATGATAAATCGTATTGACTGCGGAAACCAGCGTGTTAGGTTAATACATTTCAACAATACGACGATCAGCATTGCATGAGTTGTCCACAAATATTTAATTAAATGTGCATCGTTTGTTTGATGCCATTGACATTTTCTTGGTTCTTTCGGAAAAGTCACGTAGATAGAAAATAAAAATTATAAAATAAAAAATTAATTGAAAATAATAAAAGCAAAAAACCCACGACGTTTCGATCGCAACACAAGCGGTCTTCATCAGGCGGAGAGAAAAATAACGCTCGTGTTGCGATCAAAACGTCATGTTTTTTTTTACTTTAATTATTTTCAATTTATTTTAATTTATTTTATTTTACTATTATTTTTTCTATCTGCGTGACTTTACCAAAAGAACCAAGAACATGAATTCCTGCAGTCACGAAAGTTTTAAGTCTAAATTTCTGACATTTAAAGTTCAACCTCAGTTCGACGTCAGCCATGAGGAGACTAACCTTTGATCTTTACAATCGATGACGCAGATATTGTCAGTTACACAATTTATAATCAAGTTAATCAATTATCACATAAAACCGCGAACATTTTGCAAAGCAATGCTTATTCATTTTGACCTTAACTTTATTTGGTTTGTTATTTTATATAAAAAAAAATGCTTTGCATACCAATCACGATAGAACAGTTTAACAAAGCAGATTAAACACTAATCTTGGACCTTACCTTAAACGATATCTCATGGTTTTCCACACCACGACAACCTTAGGACAACTCAATTTTTTCACGAAGGCAATGCTTCCTCCATCATAAATACAAGGAGTTCATTGAAAATGTTAAACTGCATCTTGCACCATTAAGGAATCGCTCGCGCTGTGTTCTTGTCTTCAGGTCGCCTTGTTTCTCTCTTGTGCTCATGTTCTTGTCTAGCTGCGTCTGGATCTCTCAGGGTCTCAGTGTCTCTTTATCTCTGTGTTTATCTCTGCGTGCCTCTGTCTCCCTTTTTTGCCTCCGATTATTCCCATGTCTGCTGTTTTCATTCTTTGCCTGCCCTCTCTGTGTTCATCTCTCACCCATTCTCTCGTTGTCCCTCTGCGTCTGTCTGTCTCGTTTTCCCTATGTCTGTCTCTCTAGGCCTGCCTCAAAGGCGACTGGGTACGGTGATAGCCTCATCACCGACCCCATCATGTGCCATTCCGGCCTTCATAGGCGCTGCTACTCGCTAACAGCACTTTCCCCAACAGTTTGTTAAGTTAATACGGGGAATCTTTGTCTCTGCGTCTGTGTGCCCATCTCCTTGCCTCTCTCATTGTCTCCATGTCAGTGGCGTATTAGCTACATCAGCTCAGGGGGTGCGGAAATCGATCAGGTGGGGCCCCAAATAGTGCGATTGTCTCTTCGCACGGTGGCACATAGAGGCTATTCGATATCGTAGCTCCTTTTGTCCTAACCACATCGTAATTACACTCACGTTGTCTCAAATATTTAACGCCGTAGGGGCGCTCCGTCTTTGCTAAATGCATTCATTGCAGCTCCATAGTGCCTCTTTGCAATATAATTGTCGCGTATCTAATGAAATAAATGTCCCAGAAACGGAGTTCGAATGTGAACGCATTTTCATGAAAATATATTGAAACTGCAATTGACACTGTTATCGAAAACAAATCTCATTGTGGTTGTCAAGAGGGCCCCAACGCATAGCTTTGGCTACCAGGGGGCCAAGGCGACCCCTGTCCCCACGCTAGGCGCCATGGTGGCTAGGATATGATAACTACCTCACCTGCTATTATGAGGTCGTGGGTTTCATCCCGACCATGACGCCTGTATATTTGGAGTTTGAATTCTCTCTTCTCGTGGGCGTGTGTATTTTTCAACCTGGTCCTCCGGTTTTTCGCTCCACATTTAGGATCAACATTAATGCATTTAGAGTATTTTGCTGCTGCTTTAAATTTACACGTTGAGCTATAATTTGTGATAGCCAGGTCACTTCTGAAAAAGAGCGATATAGCTCAATGGGCCTTACCTGGTAAATAACAAACAGTTTTTCGCTTATAGTTACGCTACTGCTCTGTGCGTGTCCTATCTGTTTGGCTAGCATATTGTCCTTGTTTGTGTTCTATCCCTTTGGCTCGTCTGTGTGTATGTTATCTGTTTGTATCGCATCTTTTCTCTGTGTGTGTGTCCTATCTTTTTGGCTAGCATCTTGTCTGAGCGTGTCTCTGTATATCTCAATCTCTAGGATCCTCCTTCTCCACGTTTGCCCCAAAATATATTTTGTTTCGCTGACCGTGAGCACAGGAAATGGCGAGGCTATGTTTTACAGGGCAATCAATGGTTGCAGGGCTTACCTGATATCTGACAACCATTTGCAACTCTTGCAACCTAGGGCAACAACAACCGCACCATTAAAATGTAGCATGCATCATTGTCACGTCAGCTTGTTAATAACGAATTTACTCACCGATACTGTCATATTCATGATAACGTTTTTTTGGGGTTAGATCACGTAAGTATAAATGTGTCGTTAACCCGCCACCACCCAACACAGCCAATTAGTAAGGTTTGCCACAAAAGGTTTGGCAAAAATTATTATCGATGCTGTAATCACCAGCGTAATTTCACAGTACTCTAATTGTAAATGTTATGGATTTAGCCTCCAACACACCAGTGTGCTTAAGTAGTAACTAATAGGCACGTTTTGTGTAAGTGTCAAACTTTACTAATTGGCTATGTCGGGCGGTGGGAGGTTAACGACGCATTTATACTTACGGGATCTCACCCAAAAAACATTGATTATGAACAATACTGTAATTTCCATCAGATGTATAGCCATTGTTTATCATAGGCACCATGTTACAACAATTAAGCATCTAATTACAACTTTGCAGACCAGTGCAACTCTTCGTGTCAGAGCAGCCAACTGCAACGGATACCACCGAGCTACTTCCGATATCTCTTCAAGTGATCTCTCTTTTACACAGCAGGGGGCAGCACTTTCACACCTCCCCCTTGTTATTTTTAGTTTTTTCTTTGAACCTATCTACGTGACATTACTGAAAGACCCAAAGAATTTGAATTCCTGCAGTCCCGAAAGCATTGTCAAGGTATGACCCTGTCTGAGGCTGAATAATTTGGTTTAATGTGATCCTTCCAGATCTGGCTGCGGACTTTAAGGTCAGATTCTTTTTTCCAATTCTACAATACATTTTTGTTTCTCAATGAGTATGCTTTTGTACTCGGAGGGCTGAGGTGGTTCTAAAAGTGGTGAGAGTTCAGTGGTAAGATTGTTACCATGAACAGTGTGGTGGTATTGTAGCGCAGTCTATGAAGCACCTCTCGGTTAGCACGGTTAGCTATGTACGGTGTAAAATAAGTTCACCATATATACCTAACAGAGAATTGAATGGGGCGGGTGTCGTTAAAAGTGAAATAAATGGTGCTCAGACCGATTTGAATCTGTGTTGCAAATCAGAATAACAATATTTATGTGTACTGGACGAATCCGATGAAATCTAAAGCTCCTTTTCACAGATGTCGGGTGGTGAAGGGTTAAAGTTAAAGAAACTTGGCGTTATATCTACATGGCGACCAATCTAAAACCCAAAATAAACTAATTATGACTCAATATTTCGTCATGGAAGGCTTACGTATATCAGAATCAGATCAGAATATTAATTTATTCTGGATGAATCCAATAAACTTTACAGATCTTTTTTACAGATGTCCAGTAGGGGCAGGTCAGAATGTTACAACACCAAACAATACAAAAACCACGATAGGAGTGTAAAGCATAGTAGAGGTAATCAAATAACTTAGAATTTTTTTTCCAAATAAAAATGAACTTTTTCTTATTTTACCAGGTAAAAACCACTGGGCTATTAGCTTTTTCAAAAGCGACCTGTCCAGAAATGATAGCTCAACGAAGTGGCTTATCATATGACATTTACAGTAGCACAATAATCTAAATAATCTCAACGCATGTTTATAAAAGTGGAGGGAAAAACTGTAGGATCCAAAGAAAACAATTCACATGACCATGGGAAGAAAATTCAAACTTCAAATATGCATGCATCAGGGTGGGAATTGAACCGACAGGAGAGGAAGATAACATCACACCACCCACACGACCGTGGCGCTGTAATAGAGCGATAAAGTCGAACACCCGACGAAATTACCGATCCGAGATTTGCCCACAGATGGAATAATAAAGTGGGCGTGGTGTTAGTCGTAGGGGCGTGTCAATAGCCAAATGTCGTTGTGGCTCGTGAATCGAGGCTAATTGTGATCGATTCTGCTGAGTCGATCTAGCACCCAGCCCAAAGTTGCTTAGGCAGCCATCCTGAAATTGTACGATTCTATCTTAAACTAGCAGGAAGTACCCGGCTTTATGCGGAGGGGAAATCTTTTTCAAAACGTGCCTTTTCTTAAAAACATAATACATACGTACTCAAATACTAAGCTATTGTGAAAAAACGGCATTCCATTAGTCTGTCCATTTGCAGAAGTTCTGAATTAAAAAGTAATATAAAGTGGGGGGTAAATAGTTGATCTAAAAGGTTTCCAGAAATTACAGACACACCCCCCCCCCCCCACCCGCTAAAAATATTTTACCCCCCTGTATATACAACAGAGTCAGTCGTATCTAGTGACCTTATAGTAGTATATATTGACTATATTAGTATTTACTGACTATTGTAGTATCTACTGCCTCTGTAGTTGTATCTACTGACTTCACAGTGTACAGTATCTACTGAGTAAAGTAGTATATACTGACTATAGCAGGATCTACTGACTATATAGTATCTAGTGACTGTAGTAGTATCTACTGACTCTACAGTAGTATCTACCGACTCTATAGTAGTATATACTGAATGTATAGTAATATCCACTGACTATAGTAGTAACTGCTAACTCTATAGTCGTATCTGCTGACTAAATTATTCACCGACTCTCTACTAGCATATACCGACTCTATAGTAGCATCTACCGACTCTATAGTAGTATCTACCGACTCTATAGTAGTACCTACTGACTCTACAGTAATATCTAATGACTATATTAGTACTCTATAGTAGTATCTACTGATTATAGTAGTAACTACTAATTATATAGTAGTATCTGCTGACTCTATAGCAGTATCTAATGATTATATAGTCATATCTACTGACTCTGCAGCAGTAAATACTAACTGTAGTGGTATCTAGTGACTGTAGTAGTATCTTCTGAATCTATAGTAGTATCCAATGTCTGTAGCAGCAACTACTAACTCTGTAGTAGTATCTGCTGACTCTACAGTAGTATCTGCTGACTCTATAGCAGTAGCTACTGACTCTATTGTCGTATCTACTGACTGTCGTATAATCTACTGACTATACAGTTGTATCTACTGCGTCTACAGTAGTATCTATTTACTGAAGTAGTATATGCCGACTCTACAGTAGTATCTTGTGACTCTAAAGTAGTATCAACTAAGTCTAGAGTAGTCTCCACTGACTGTAGTAGTATCTACCGACTTTACAGTAGCATCTCCAGAGACTACAGTAGGATCTCCCGACGTTACGGTAGTGTCTAGCGACTCAACAATAGTATCTATTGACTCAATAGTAGTATCTACTTCGTCTATAGTAGCATATGCTAACTCTATATTAGTATCTGCTGACTATATAGCAGTATCTACTGACTATAGTTGTATCTACTGACTCTGCAGCAATATATACTGACTAGTATTTTCTACTGACTCTATAGTAGTATCTACCGACTCTACGCTGGAATTTACCAACTCTATAGTAGTATCTACCGACTTTTTAGTAGTAACTACTGACGCTACAGTAGTATCTACTGACTATAGTAGTAACTACTAACTCGATAGTAATATCTGCTAACTCTAGCAGTATCTACGGACTATAGTAGTATCTACCCACTCAATAGTAGTTTATACTGACTCTATATTAGTAACTACCGACTCTGCAGCAGTAACTACCGACTCTACAGTAGTATATGTTGACTATATAGTAGCATATGCTGAGTCAACCATGGTATCTACCGACTCTACAGTAGTATATACCGAATCTGTAGTCGAAACTACTGACTATAGTAAGATCTACCGACTCTACAGTAGTAACTACCGACTCTGCAGCAGTAACTAATGGCTCTAGAGGAGTATCTATTGACTCAATAGTAGTATCTACTGAGTTTTCATTAGTATTAACTGACTGCAGTAGAACCTCCCGATTCTACCGTAGCACCTACCGACCCTAGTGGTATCTACCGACACTCAGTAGTATCTGCCGGCCCTGCAGTATTAACTACTCACTCTGCACTAGTATATATTGGCTCTATAGTAGTATCTACTGAGTCAAAAGTAGTATCTACGGACTGCAGTAGTATCTACCGACTCTACCTCAGTATTGTGCTCCTGTGTTTTTGCACACTTTTATTATAATTATTTTTTTTATTTTACACGCTTTTATTTAACTCTATTGTATCCTCAAATATTGTAACTCATAATTTACCCACTTCCCAATGTGGTATCGACTGCAAACTTGATACACTTATGTCATACTGATGACAATACTATATTCTATCATAAAATAAAACATTAATTTTAAAACATTCTTTTACACGCTTTTTATTAACTCTGTTGTTGTCGTATCCTAAAATCTTGTAACTCAAGCTAACCCACTTCCCAATGTCGTATCGACTGCAAACTTGGTATACGTATGTCATACTGATGAAAATACTATATTCTATCATTAAAATAAACAAAAATATTTTTAAACAATATTTTATATATGCTATGTTTCAGCTTGGGTCTAATTGGCCACGCTCAACTGACGTTGGCTATGAATCACCACGGTCCCGTACGTTATAGCAAGCTTCAGGGCCACTTCCTGGAGTCGTGGAGTTCAGCCATTACTCGTACGGTACATTTCATTAAAGAGTGTTTAAAAAAGTATTTTAAATATTACTTGTTTATTCGCCTTTTTTACGCGAAGGAGAATATCTCTCCCATCGCCGCTGAACGAGCTCGCGTGCGTTGCCAGGGGCAACCGCGAGTCAGCATTTCCGCGCATGCGCAGATGCGTGTTTTGGCACCGCAATCAGCGTAATAATGTAAAGTTATAAAGTGTGATTTAATTAGTTTACATTTCACGGAGGGGGAAAAACAAAGAGCGCTTTTTCGTGCGTTATATCTGTGTACTTTATTAAAACGTCAACCCGACAGTGTGTTAGTTAAAAGCATTGCAAGGCGTGTGCACAGACAGACAGACAAAAAATTACGTTTATAGGTAAGATTACATTTTGCGGTTCAAATATATAAAACTACTGTTTCAATGTGCGATGTTTATGTAAACATCGATGTTTATGTTACGCTAACGTTC